GCTCCTTGGTTTAATGCAGAGCTGCGTACTTTGAAGCAAAATGCTAGGAAACTGGAGAGAAAATATCGCTCCACAGGCCTGCGAGAGTCCTTCCTAGTCTGGAAAAATGGTTTACTGCTGTATAAGAGGACCCTTTGTAAAGCAAGAGCAGCATACTTCTCCTCATTAATAGAGGAGAATAAGAATAATCCAAGATTTCTTTTTAATACAGTTGCCAAACTCACCCAGAGCCATAGCTCTGTTGAACCGTCCATTCCACCTGCTCTTAGCAGCAATGATTTTATGGGATTCTTTATAAATAAGATTGATCTTATTAAAAATAAGATCATAAGCACTCCTCTATCCGCGATTGTACCTGAGGTAGTCATGGAATCTGAACCGGGTTTAGACTGCTTTGATCCAGTTGAACTCTCTGAATTAGCAAAATTATTGTCTTCATCTAAGCCTTCAACTTGTATGTTAGATCCAGTTCCAACCAGGTTATTTAAGGAGGTATTCCCTTTGATCTCCTCCTCCATTTTAGATGTGATTAATCTATCTCTGTTACAGGGATATGTACCTAAAGCTTTTAAGATTGCTGTAATTAAACCTCTGCTTAAGAAACCGTCTCTTGACCCAGATGACTTGGTCAATTATAGACCTATATCCAATCTTCCTTTCTTATCCAAAATTCTTGAGAAAGTAGTTGCCAAACAAGTTTGCGATCACTTCCACCATAATGAACTTTTTGAAGAGTTTCAGTCTGGCTTTAGAGCTCATCATAGCACTGAAACAGCTCTGGTGAAAGTCACTAATGATATTCTCATGGCCTCAGATAATGGACTTGTATCTGTGCTCGTCCTGTTGGATCTTAGTGCTGCATTTGATACAGTTGACCATAATATTCTTTTAGAAAGACTTGAATATTTTGTTGGAATTAAAGGAACAGCACTAGACTGGTTTAAATCTTATCTATCTGATCGAATTCAGTTTGTTCATGTTAATGATAGATCTTCAACACGCTCAAAGGTTACCTGTGGAGTACCACAGGGATCAGTGCTAGGACCAATTCTCTTTACTTTATACATGCTCCCAATTGGTAGAGTTATTAGACAGCATGGGATTAATTTCCACTGTTATGCTGATGATACCCAGCTATATCTGTCTATAAATCCAGATGAAGCTAACCCATTACATAGATTACAGGCATGTCTTGAAGACATAAAAACCTGGATGACTCTTAACTTTCTGCTTCTGAATGCAGACAAAACAGAAGTTATAGTCTTTGGACCAGAGTCTCTGAAAAAGAAACTGATTAGCCAGTCACTTCATTTGGATGGGATTAAACTGATTTCAGATAATAAAGTAAAAAATCTTGGTGTTATTTTTGATCAGGACCTGTCATTTAAATCCCATATCAAAGAGGTTTCTAGAATTTCCTTCTTTCATCTGAGGAACATTGCAAAAATTAGAAATATCCTGTCCAGGGGTGATGCTGAGAAACTAGTCCATGCATTTGTTACTTCAAGGCTGGACTATTGTAATTCTTTACTATCAGGAAGTCCACAAACTGTAGTTAAAAGCCTTCAGCTGATCCAAAATGCTGCAGCCAGAGTTCTAATGAAAATGAAAAAGAGAGATCATATCTCTCCTATCCTGGCTTCTCTTCATTGGCTTCCTGTTAAATCAAGAATAGAATTTAAAATCCTCCTTCTCACATATAAAGCCTTAAATGGCCAAGCTCCATCTTATATCAGAGATCTGATTGTTCCTTATGTTCCTAACAGAGCACTTCGCTCTCAATCTGCAGGTTTACTAGTGGTTCCTAGAATTTCTAAAAGTAGAATGGGAGGCAGATCTTTTAGTTATCAGGCTCCTCTCCTGTGGAACCAACTACCAGTTTTAGTCCGTGAGGCAGACACCCTGTCTACTTTTAAGGCTAGGCTTAAAACTTTCATTTTTGATAAAGCTTATAGTTAGGGTGGCTCAGGTTATCCTGAGCTATCTCTATAGTTATGCTGCTATAGGCTTAGACTTTTGGAGGACATAGGGACCCCCATTTCATCATTCTGCTTCATTCTCTCTCTGTTCTCCTATTCTGCAGAATCTGTTAGTTCAATCTCTAACCTTCTGCTCTCTCTGCTTTTCCTCAGAGTAGCTTTGCCTCGTCTGTTCCTGTTTGGCTGTGACGTCATCCTGGAAAAAAACATCAGCTGTGCTGCTTCTATCAACACCCTTGTTAATAGATGTTGGAGATCGGCCTGTTTTCCAGTGTGGTCCTGTTTCTCTGACCGTGACTGAGTGGATGTGCTCTCTTCGTCCTCTGGCATGGGAGCTGCCTTGGAGCTCGTCTGCCTGGCTGTGTGTTTCCTGGACGGGGCCGCCTTTTACAGCTGCTTTTTGTATCTCTGCTTCTGTCTCCTTGAACCCCAGTCGGCCTCGGCAGATGGCCGCTCACACTGAGCCTGGTTCTGCTGGAGGTTTCTTCCTGTTAAAAGGGAGTTTTTCCTCTCCACTGTCGCTACAAGCATGCTTAGTGTGGGGGATTGTATTTGAGTCAATGAGTCAATGCAATCAACTGGTTTTCCTTAGATAGAAAACTTTGTATCAATTTGACTGTATGATCTGGTTGAACTGTAAAGTGCCTTGAGATGACATGTGTTGTGAATTTGGCGCTATATAAATAAACTGAATTGAATTGAATTGAATTGAGAGTATAAATGTACTGCAGTTAATTTTTTAATTCAGTTCATACGCTTCAAAAAATTATTTTAAGGGAAGTTAAAAAAACAATTTTTGTAGATCTTCGTTGCTTGTCTACAAAGAAAACATATGCCTTCTTTTTATTTAATAAGATATTTTAACTCATTTTGACTGATCTACCCATTACCAGGCTTGACAATGGTTTGGTTCAAAAAAAAAAAAAAAAAAAATAGGATGATTTTTCATTCTTTTAGGAATAGGGCCACTTAGATAACTTCTCAATTTAAGAAATTTATATTCAGAAGTTTTACGTTTTCTGGCCAAGCGAAGTGTATAAATAGAATCACTTTTCTTAGTCTCCTTTTATCATTAAAAATTGACCTTAGATGAGGTGAAGTGAGAAGTGAGGTCTGCTGTGAGTATTTTTAGACCTTCAGTAGTTTGATGCAGTCATGGAGTAATTTTGGAAAGCTGGCCTCTCCTGGGAAATCTTCCCTTTTTCCACATTTTTTTATATGCATGTATGATTCTTACTGTTTTTTACTGAAGCAACAAATCTTTAAATATTACATATTTCAAGATCTTTGTATTTTATTTAAATTCTTCTCTTGGGCATGATTTTTGACATAATTTATGGAAATATATGTCACCGCAGGTTTCAATTAGTTAATTTGATTCAGTTCAGACCAGAACAAAAAGATTGTCATTCACTGTAAGATTTTATGGGTTTCCAATTCTGTTGAAACACTGCTCCCCAGTGGTCATCCTTATGACCTACAACATAATGACTGAATATTAACTACAAAACAAACACAACTGAGATAAAAATTGACCTATGTTGATCAAATCTTTTTGTATTACTTTTTAATTCCTATCATAAAATAAAATCTGTAAAAAGGTTTTTAATGTTTGTTTGTCCCCAAGTGTAAATATGACCAAATGTATTCCAAAAAAAGAAAGTTAAAAACAATCCACTGGATTTTGTTTTCAATTTTGAAGACGCTTCGCTTCCCATCCAGGAAGCTTTTTCAATTGAAAATGTCAGGAATAGCGTCGAGTTCGAGACTATTCCTGACATTTTGAAATACTGAGAATCTTCACCAGCATGATCAAATGTATTTCTTTTAGTGAATCTAAACCAAAATTTTATGTTCGACTTTAAAATTCCCTTTGAATGTATCGAAATAAGACGGGTGTCAAAAATGTTAGCCATGTTAAATCAAATTAGATAAAGGAGGGTAAACCTTTTTGATGTGCATCAACAATTGCCCAATTGCTGAAAAATGATAACTATTATGTAAAAGTACAAAGTAGCTTTGTGTCTGATTCACTTAGTTGGTCTTTTTGGACCCTAGTTGCTCATAATGTGTACTTTTCTACATTTTTAAGGTTTATTCAAGGACAGCTTTAAAAAAAAAATACCAAGAAAGCTGCAACAGTAGAACATAACCCATAAAACGTATTCTGAAGGAAAGGCCTGATTTTGATGTAAGTAGAGAATGTGCAGAGAACATAGCAGTAAGGTTTGGATCGAGATATGTCTATAATGAACTACAGGAGGCAGCATGGGGTGACGGGATCTGATATAGGCAGCCTGAGGCCCTTTAAAAAGGTGAGTACAAAGAATACCTCAGACTTATTCTGATTCAATTTCAATGAAAAGGCAACTTGAATAGTTGGGGGGATTGAAGTTAGAGTGGTCCAACTTAATCTAAGCCCTCTCTCTTTAGTTATGCTGCTATAGTCTTGTGATGCTGGAGAGCATACTAGACACTTTTTCTTATACTTCTCACAAGGACTGCTGATTTTTAATTGTGGCTGACAACATCACCTTCTCTCTCTGTAGATTAAAATATTGTCTAAAACTGATCAACCGAATAAGCAATGGCTGCCAATAACTACACAACCTTGTTTTTATTTCCCAAATTTTCACTATTTGCCCACACCATTGTCCAGCTATTTCTCTCTTGGATAAAGTCACCTAAAGCTACTATATACCCTTTAATTTTTCTTTACCAAAGAAAGAAAATAATTCACCTGAACATCTGTGTTTTTGCACATGGAACATCCTCACAGACCGCTTCGTTTTGAAGCGTAGGGCTGCTTAACAGTCAGGTTCTGCTGGAGGCCTCTTCCTGTTAATATGGGAGTCTTTACTATGAACTTCCACTACATACATCCTCATATGAAGGTTTCTGTCAGTCATTTGATGCAATGACCTTGAACTTCCTAGAGAGGAAAACCTTTTGATCATTCCGCTTCTGCATATGTGCTAATGGTAAAGTCGCTTGAGGCATTTGTTTAAAAAAACAGATCAATAAATATGCTTAAATGATTCAAATCAAATTGACATTTTAATTTTGGATTCTTTTTCTTGGCAAAAGTATAATAATTATGAGTGAGAAAACTAATTACATTTATATTTCGGTAGACACAGATGTATTTTTTTACCATTATGTTTTTGTGCTGCGTTTAACAATGCATCTACATTTCATTCCATAGTCATCCTCAGATTTTTGTTTTTTGGTTAGGGTGAAGCAGCCTGGCCTTACACACATGTCAAAAAGGAGGCTGTTGGTACAAAAATAAATAAGACATACTTCAGATAAACATGGTTGCTTCTTTCTGTTTGCTACAGACTCTTAAGGCGGATCAACGTTGCATTATAGCTGTGAACCTGAACTTCTCCATGTGTCCTTCCACATTTCCAAACACAAATAAGTTGTACATGTCCTATTTACATTTGCAGATGACAAAAAATATCATTTGGAAAAGGACAAAAGATGGCAGCTGTGGTCATGTCTCTAGTGTCAGTCCATAGGTGTTGATAAATATGCGTTTTGGATTTCTTGTATCTTCCTGGACCAGTCTCTATCCGTCTTCCAGTCAGTGTTCCCATTTCCTAGCTGACTGCACTGGATAGATGCACCCAGAAGATGGTGGTGCCTGAAATCAGGCTGTTCGGGTGTTTCTCAGTCTGAGGGAGTCTCATCACTCTTGGTTTCTACAGAGAGTTCCTGCATGGAATCTGTAGCCTCCTGAATGCTACTTTCTTCTGAAAAAAAAAAACAGAAACAAGAGTCAGTCAGTGCAGGATACAGTCAGCCAACAACATGTTGCCTCATATTTTAAGAAATTTAACAATTTGAAAAGACCTGAGCCCCATTGCTGCTTCAGTAGGGGTTAGCAGAAGAAGAAGCAGCTAGTTTCTACTTATTAACTGCTGTAATGAGTGATGACCTGTATTAAGGTTAAAACAGCTTGCTGACCAGGAACATTAAGGTATGTGTAACACAAGATCAAATAGAACAACAACACATTTCAAGGGAGGCAACAGTTGCTGCACATCTATCTGTTCAAGGCCATATTTGAACTATTATAAATATTATGTCTATTGATCTGCAAAAGGGAGCAATTAACACTTAGAGGATAAAACCCAGCAGCTGATCTTCTCTAGAGGGCATCAAAGTGAATTTGTCAAAGAAAAAAACATTTAAAGGGAAATTGCAAATAAGAAACTGGAGCTTAACCTCTAGACTCCACACCCCCAATCAGCCTTGCTTAGTGGCCCTAAGCAAAACTCAGTTTTGGGGCCCTCTATGGGTTCTATGCACAACTTCACTACTTTCTGAACTTAAGGCGGCTCTTTTATTTCCTGTCTTTTTCTATTGATGAACTGATTCATCCAGATGTGTCTGGCCATGTTTACTGAGGTTAGGCACAACTGGAGGAATCAGAGAGGAAACAAAGAGCTGCCTTAAGTTCAGGAAGTATTGGAGATGTGCATATAGCCAAATTTCTGTCAATAATATCCATTGCTGCAATTACCTGTGTCAAAGTATCTCTATTAGTCTCCCTAAGATGAAATTCTTCTTGGACATAAACCATATTATTCACTCACCTGAGTGAAGTTGCCCCCCCCCCACCCTCTTCAAATCAGACAAAATTAGTGTCAAACGTTTGTGCTACATTTGTGCAGCAAAAGTTGTCGTTTGTGCTGCTTTGGCTTTGAAGATATTAATGAAAATGTAAAGGTCAAAAGGTCAACCAGCCCCCCCACATTCTTCAAATTAGACAAAATTGGTTTCAAACGTTTGTGCAGCAAAAATTTTCGTTTGTGCCGCTATCATTACTTTACAGTGTAAAATTATATAATCATAGGTTAGCAACTTATAATTTATATGAAATTCAGAGTTTCAGAATGAGCAAATGTTCACTGACCTTTGATGACTTCTACAAACACTTATTAATATCATTAAAATGATAGCAGTACAAGAATGAATATATTTTAAAATATGCAGTTTTGAAGTTTTAATATATGTATTTTAAATATTTTATATTTAAAATTAATTTAAAAATTTTATATTTTATATGGCAACAATTTTCATTTGTACTGCTATCATTTTAATGAGAATAATACATTTGTAGAGGTCATCAAAGGTCAGTTAACATCCGTTTTTGCTGCACAAACGTTTGACATTATTTTTGTCTGATTTGAAGAAGGTGGGGGGGGCCAACTTCACTCGGGCTATTCACCTCACTACTACAACCTAATCCCAACTCCTGCAGGGCTGTTTAGTCTGATATTTGTATGCATCATTTAGCGTTACTAAAAGTAATAAAATCAGCTAGTGTGCAGATTATTTAGAGTAAAAGTGTCATGTGGTTTAAGCTTTTTGGTTCCAACCACAATGGGATTTTAGAAAAATAACTTGTAGTGCAGGAACAACAACAAAATTAAATTAGGATAAATGGCAGGCAAAAGTCAAATAACTAATAATAAAAAAGTGCTTATCTTTGTTCTTTAAGCAAAAGTTTGTTTTAGAGAAGTCTCCACGGGTCCTTCCTCATCTGTGTGCCAATCTGGTTCCAAGAACCATCATTTTTTAACAATATAGTAATAGTAGTGTATTATTAGTAATCATTTCTACATGGTTAAAAATATATTGATGTAAAATGCATAATCTTATCATATCATTGTGTGTTTCATTACTATATTGAACAATATTTAGGCAGCAGAGACCAAAGTAAAGACTTGTGGGATAAAAGAACAAAGGTATTGGAAGGCTGATGTTTAGGTTTGACTTGCAGGCAAAGGTTCAGAGACTTGCATTCCTTTATTTAACAACCATCTATGTGTCCTGAGGTATATAAACATTAAAATGTCAGGATATTCTCAAAATGTATTCTAGGTTGCAGTTGGGTCGTCATCAGAATAGCAGGAACTGAAATACAACAGAAGAACTAAGAAACAGACTAAGAAAAAGTCGAGACCTCACATTAATATGCTGTGGTGGATGCGAAAGACGGCTGACCAGAAAACTGAAGCAACAATTTAAAGACAGTTAAACCAAATGTTGGATGATGGGGGGTAGTCAGTTTGGCTTCATCTTTCCTAAACATAGCAGCAGACTGGAATCTGCTCTGAGCTTCTGGACACTGAAGTATAGATGTAAATAATAAGGGTTGGAAGATCAGATGGGTTTTATTAAATCTCTAGATCTGATTTAGTTTTACAAACCAAAATACACAACCTATAAACTATATGAACACATGATAAAGTTTAAATGTTTTTTGTTTTGGTTTTCTGGTTGCTGGATGAATCACCTTTACTCTGCTGCATCCTCAGTCTGGCTGCTTCAGCCTCCTGCTTTTCTCGCTCCTCTTGGAGCTTCTTACAAACATTCTTGTGGGTGAACCAATGCATTTTCTGGCACGCTTGGCCACAGTAGATAACCTGGATAATGGAAAAAAGAGCCAAGTGTCTGTATACAATAACCAAATGTCAAGATAAGCTAAAAAAGCAAAGATATCATGTCAGAGTTTAGCTACTAATTGTTCAGAAAGACAGCAAATGACGGCCCAGAAATAAATACTTAATTTAAATGTCATCACAATTTATTCCAGTAGTTTTGACACTCACCATTTTACAGATGGAGCATCTTTTCTCGGCTCCCTTTTCCCCACAGGTGGTACAGAACTCCGCGTCCATGAAGCCAACCTGACCCGTGATAGCCTGAGTCAGCACTGACAGAGCTGTGGGGTCGTTTCCCTGACGTATCATCAAGGACAAGAAAACCGATCAGACCTGCTAAAGTTCAGTTGTCTGTTTTCCAAGTCACTGAGTTTAGTTGGAGTTTAATCTACAAAATGCTCCTCTTCACTTCCAAATCCTGTGATTTGTGAGGCAGGGAAATGTTTGGAATGAATGCCTTCAATGTAAAACTTACAATGTCCACCGGAGCGATACTCCGCACTAGCTGCTGCAGCAGCGTGGCGTCGCAGTACGGGAACTTGCGTATGCACTCGCGGATGAACTTTTCCTGAAAGACTGGGAAACCGTCGCTGTCCCGACCTTTCAGCAAACTGGAAAACACAAAAAAAACAGAAATACCAAAAACGAGCTGAATAACAGGACAAGATTCAGAGTTAAAATGATCTTTGGGGAAGAAAACAAGCCTGAGATCCAGTTTCTAGGAACCACCATTTCTCTGAACCCAGCAATGCCCGCACACATCAACCCTGCTTTACACAAGCAAATATTCCAACCTCTTTATGAGGCCGTCCAGCTTATCCTCACGGTCTTTCAGGAAGGAGGCACACTTCCCCAGCACGCAGCTGATGTAGTGCATCTTCATCGCCAGAACCTCGTTCATGTCCTGCTGCTTGATGCACTTCTCACAGATGAGCTCCATCACTCTTCTGCTTTTGTCCAGAGCCTCCACCTCTGCCAGCAATGGGTTTTCCTTCACCAGCATCACCAACTAGAACAAAAAACCAACAACAAATTCCAGTTGTTGATTTACTTATTGCACAGTTTAGACAGGAACAGTACTAATAAAATGCAGAGAATAAATGGCAAAGAGTGATCCATCATCTTCAGTTTTATCTTTTTGGTTTGGACTGTTTAATTTAAGCAAATAAACAGGTACACAGGGGAAGAAAATCAGATCAACAAACTTTTTAAGTACCGTAATTTTTGGATTATAAGCCGCACCCGAATATAAGCCGCAGAAGCTAAATTGCATGATTTTTACATATACAAGCCGCACCAGACTATAAGCCGCAGGTTTTTTATGTTTATTTACCATATGGTTTGTGCACAGAGAGGATTGACAGGAAACAGGCAACTGTTTGGGGAAGCTCCTATTTATTAACATTTCAACACAATTGAATTGAGACAAGATTACGTGCAGCGGTTCTATTTCCTTTGTTTACTGCCAAATTGACTGCCTTTAACTTAAAAGCTGCATCATATGCATTTCAACGTTTGTTTTCCATAATGAGGGTGTCACACAAACTGTCTTGCGCTCGCAATGTCTGTCTTTCTCAGAGTCTGCTTCCGGAGGACGCCCGCATTCCCGCGCGCGCGACTACTTGTGTGTTGAAGCAAATGTGACGTCAACATGGTGGATGGTAAAATCCATAGATTTAGGTACCGTATTACCCTAGTGGCCGTTAGCTGTAAAAGTCCATAGATAAGCCGCATTGTTATATAAGCCGCAAGGTCGAAAGATGGTTGAAAAATGGGGAAAAAGTTGCGGCTTATAGTCCAAAAATTACGGTAGTTATAGACTAACTGTGCGATTAAATACATTAAATAAATAAATAAATAAAATCCTTTTATTTGTTTTTAATAATGAAATTTGTTGAGGGTTTAGCTATAAATCCCAAAAAAGATTCAATAATACTTACTTTAATAAAAAAGAATAAGCAAATAAGATAAAAAGTTGAACAGACTATTTTTAAAAGCTTTTTTTCCTCCAATGTCATAAGACGTCATTGTTTAAGCTAGTCACTATAGATTACTATTACCTAAAGAAAAAACAATAGCGAGCTGGATGGTCTTTTGATTTCTTGGAGACATAGTTATATACATATATGAACATACGACTCGTTTGCTGATTTATGTAAGAGAAATCCTGTTTATTAAAAAATGATGTGATTTGAAACAGTCCGGGGAAGCACAGTGAGGACAAACCAACTCTACACAGAAACCTTTCGCTTTCTTGATTCCAGTCATAGATATCTTCTTCAGCCTGTCTTTTTCCTCTCCTAGACATAGCTATGGGTTCATTAGACAATTACAGACTACTTGCAGATTTTTTTCTATTGCGTAAATATTTTCCTTCAGATGTTGCAATTCGTGCTGCTCTGTGGGTAGCACTGCTGCCTTGCAGCAAGAAATGTTCCAGGTTCAATTCCTGGCCTGGGGTCTTTCTGCATGGAGTTTGCATGTTCTCCCTGAGCATTCGTGGTTTCTCTCAGGGTACTCCGTCTTCCTCCCACAGTCCAAAAACATGACTGTTAGCTTCTCTAAATTATTGTTAAGTGTGAGTGTGTGAATGGTTGTTTGCCCTGTTTGTGTCTCTGTTTCCCTGTGATGGACTGGTGATCTTTTCAGGGAGAACCCTGCTTCTCCCCATAAACAGCTGGAGATAGGCACCAGCACCCCTCGCTACCCCACTTGGAATAAGTGTGACGAAAAATGGATGAATGGATGCTGCAATTCTCTCTGAGAATTAGATTTCAACTGTTTGGTTTCACAAAGCTTTTAAATAGTCTGTACTGTGACATCAGGACTGTGAAAAGACGTCAATTATCTAAGTCTTACTTTCACAGGGTTCAGGTTGGTGCTCATGATGACCTTATGCAGCGGTCCAGCCAGTTTGGGTGGCAGCTTTGGTTCCTTCTCCAAACCCTGTGGCTTAGTGTAGTAATCCAGCCTGGCTCGAGAAAAGTAGTTGTTGATTACAGTGACACAATCGTGCTGACCTAAGGAGGAAAAGAGCAGAATGGCTTAAGTGTTAAAGGTATAGTGGAGGGTTTTCGTGAATTTCTGAAAAGACCCGTCCTCTCCACCTTTAAAAGAAAAAAAATGCACATGCACAACCTTTACCCGCTCCCGAGAGCGAACGCCTATTAATCGTGTGCGAAGGCGTTGGCGAGCCCATTTCTCCTCATGCTTTTTAAGGGAAAATGGGGACGAGCACATAGTATGGCCTTACGTAAACATATTACCAGAACGATTGACAATTAGGAGATCCACTTATTATGATGATATGCCTGGAAAAACAAACATTCTCCACTATACCTTTAATACTGCCAAGGTAAAGCGTAAACCAAAGAACAAGATCCTAACTGGGCATAAAAAAGACAAATTTATTGAGAAAAAAAGTTGTAATTTAAGAAAAAAAAGGAAATTAAATTGTGTTGTTATCCCGTATTCTATGTTTTTACAATCCAATTATATCAAATAATACAATAAAAATGTCTTATCTTCTGAAATGATTGACTAAAAGCCTTTATTAATGACTAGCATATCTATGTTCCTAATGTTTCAGTCTGTTTTGTTAAAATATCTCTTGGCCTCATATTATAACGACATTGAAATTTTAAACCAGTATATTGACTTTGTTTTCTCTACTCCTCCAAAATCTTCTTTAAGATTTTGTACGTTTCAGGAAAAAAAAAGGAGAAGAAATGGCATCACAACATACCAACGAAAGCTGCCATCTGAGCGGCAGTCCGTCCAACAGAGTTGGTCACATCCGTTTCTGCCCCGGCATCCAACATCATCCAGGTGATGTCAGTCTTTCCTATAAACAAAATTAAAAAAAAAATTGGTTTAACTTTCAAATACGATATATTTTGTCTTAGCATATATAGGAAATGAAACTTATACATGTACATATTTAATGTTTTAACAAAAAAGATAGATGTGGTTGAATGCTGCCATATGCATGGTATTAAGGCTGATTTATACTTCCAAACCAGGTCGTCACTCACCTGACAGTCCAGCAAACATGAGTGCCGTGTAGCCATGTTCATGTTCATTACAGTTTACGTCAGCTCCATGTTGGAGGAGCAACTTGCACATGTCTGCCTTCCCTTTATAGGCAGCGTGCATGAGAGGTGTCATCCCATACTGCGGATTAGACAAAAACAAATCTGGCATTAATGATCAAACTAATGATTACAAAAATAATCTATTCCATGACAAATTATACTTGATATATTTTCAGCACTATGTACAGCGTTATGACTGTTCAGTATACAAACTTCAATTTAAGGCAAGGAGCAAATTAATTCTACATTGATAACCACTGTTTTCTAAATAGTTTAAAGAATAGTTACAATAAAGATGTTAAGATGACATGATTAGACCATCAAGAGTTGAAAAATGCAGCAAAAAGCTTTTTCTTTAAGCAAAATAATTCACTTCAAACTCATTTTTGAAGGGAAAGAAAAACTGTCAAGCTCATCATATTGACAGTAATACGAGACATTTGTTTTTCTTTTTTTATAATCATACCCATGATATCCAAAATAGCATTATAAAAGTTTTTATATAGTATACAATCAATGTACATGTGCTTGTTTTTTTTCTTTACATGCTTTACTGTTCATTTTACAACCATTTCTATGAAAGCCTGCTTCAGGTGTTTATAACTATATATGTATTTCATAAATATATTGCTGACTAAAACTTCCACAACAGGTTTTTATTAATTACTGACACTACACCCATCTTAAGAACTTTAATCAGTTTATAACCCTGATCCGAAGATGTCTACAGAGAAAAAAAGCAGTGGGTAATGGCCTAAAAGACAAAAGCTTTGAAATAATATCAATCAGGATGAAAGAAGTATTATTATAAAGTTTTTTTTTATCCTTAACAATACATTTGGTTTAAAAAAATTCAGGTTTCTGAAAGTTACACAACACATGATCATCAGATACACTATATTGCCAAAAGTATTTGCTCACCCATCCAAATTATTGGAATCAGGTGTTCCAATCACTTCCATGGCCACAGGTGTATAAATTCAAGCACCTAGGCATGCAGACTGTTTTTACAAACATTTGTGAAAGAATGGGTCGCTCTCAGGAGCTCAGTGAATTCCAGCGTGGAACTGTGATAGGATGCCACCTGTGCAACAAATCCAGTCGTGAAATTTCCTCGCTCCTAAATATTCCACAGTCAACTGTCAGCTGTATTATAAGAAAATGGAAGTGTTTGGGAACGACAGCAACTCAGCCACGAAGTGGTAGGCCACGTAAACTGACGGAGCGGGGTCAGCGGATGCTGACGCGCATAGTGCGAAGAGGTCGCCAACTTTCTGCAGAGTCAATCACTACAGACCTCCAAACTTCATGTGGCCTTCAGATTAGCTCAAGAACAGTGCGCAGAGAGCTTCATGGAATGGGTTTCCATGGTCGAGCAGCTGCATCCAAGCCATACATCACCAAGTGCAATGCAAAGCGTCGGATGCGGTGGTGTAAAGCACGCCGCCACTGGACTCTAGAGCAGTGGAGACGCGTTCTCTGGAGTGACGAATCGCGCTTCTCCATCTGGCAATCTGATGGACGGGTCTGGGTTTGGCGGTTGCCAGGAGAACGGTACTTGTCTGACTGCATTGTGCCAAGTGTAAAGTTTGGTGGAGGGGGGATTATGGTGTGGGGTTGTTTTTCAGGAGCTGGGCTTGGCCCCTTAGTTCCAGTGAAAGGAACTCTGAATGCTTCAGCATACCAAGACATTTTGGACAATTCCATGCTCCCAACTTTGTGGGAACAGTTTGGAGCTGGCCCCTTCCTCTTCCAACATGACTGTGCACCAGTGCACAAAGCAAGGTCCATAAAGACATGGATGACAGAGTCTGGTGTGGATGAACTTGACTGGCCTGCACAGAGTCCTGACCTCAACCCGATAGAACACCTTTGGGATGAATTAGAGCGGAGACTGAGAGCCAGGCCTTCTCGTCCAACATCAGTGTGCGACCTCACAAATGCGCTTCTGGAAGAATGGTCAAAAATTCCCATAAACACACTCCTAAACCTTGTGGACAGCCTTCCCAGAAGAGTTGAAGCTGTTCTAGCTGCAAAGGGTGGACCGACGTCATATTGAACCCTATGGATTAGGAACGGGATGTCACTTAAGCTCATATGTGAGTCAAGGCAGGTGAGCAAATACTTTTGGCAATATAGTGTATATGCTCTGACTTTGTTAGTGTTTTATTTCTATTTATTTTACAACTAAACATATGGTTTACAGTTGTTCTTTTTCCTTCACTTGTCCACATTAAATTACAACTATGAACCACATATTAAACACTGACTCACTTAACAAATAGCTAATAATTTATTTTTTTTTTTTAAAGAAAATATTCTTAATGCAACAACATTTAAAATTCTATTAAACCGGCTAAGTGAAAATGTAATTACAAATAATTATGAACCTCAATGGCCTGTTTATTTCTGTAAATACCTCATCCAGGCAGTTAACTCGAACATCCTTACAGCCTAGCAGCCTGGAGGCTTCCTGAACATTACCTAAAAAGGAGAAAAGCTCTTTTATTACTGTTATTTTACTACATTGGTAGTTCTCAAGATCTTAGTTTCACCAGAGCAGACAAAACAACTTCACAAACCTATTTAATAACAGCTACACCTAAAATGCCATGTTCTAAGTTACTCATCTTTCAAGTTAGTATCATTGAGAAGGTGGGAAAAATGCATTCATTCATTTTTATTCAGCAGAGATTATTGTTAGACCACAGTTTGGAGACATGTGCTTTCACAGTGGTTAAACTGGGAAGCGGAGGAGAAGCATAACGTCTGTATCTGTGTCCTACAAGCTAACAGACAGGGATTAGCATTAGCCGAGGAGGCTTACCTGCAGAAATAACTTGAAACAATTCCTTTTCGCTCGGGGACAAGTCTCCTTTCTTTGGGGTGGACATGGTGATACTTAATAGATTTAAATAAATTTGAAGTTGCACCAATATATCAAAAAAGCTTTCACTTAAATAACGCAGTTCTTATCCCTGATAGTGTGATGCTGCTACTTGAGCTAGCTGTCAAACGGAATGTACCACTTGGAATAAGGGGTGGAAAAGGGCAGGACAGAACACTTAAAGAACTAACTTTATTTTCAAAGAACTTTTCTTTTTTCAATCATATACTTTATAAACAATAATAGAATACAAGGTAAATCTTATATATAATATTTTGCTTTACAACAAATAAAACATTCTACACAATTATCCCCCCGTGTAGTTGGTAAAAATACTTAGATCCACGAGAGTCTAGAAAGTTCATTCATACGCTTCAAAGGCGGTCATGTCATAATACTTTGATGTCTAATCAGCGAAATTATAATACTTTAAGATGGTCATATCAGTTAGTTAGCTATGACCTCTTTTATATTAATCAGTTTTAATTGATTGTAGAGTGGGTTCACTTGCGCTCTTACTTCTACCGTAATAAAAGCTTATACGCAACATTATTTCCTCATTCAACAGCGCCAGAGAACGGCTTGATGAGGACATTAGTTATTCTGTAGACAAGGCCTCAGGGGTTGTTTTTTTGTTTGTTTTTTAAGTATTATTATTATTGTTTAATTAAATTAAATTTATTATATAGTTCTTATTCAGAACACATGTCATCTGAAGGCATTTTACAGAGACAATTCAAACAGATCATACAATCAAAATATTTATCAAAGGAAAACCAGTTGAAAGCATTGACTCATTGACCAGAAGGCAATCCCTCACACCAAGCATACTTGTAGCGACAGTGGAGAGAAAAAACTCCCTTTTAACAGGAAGAAACCTCCAGCAGAACCAGGCTCAGTGTGAGCGGCCATCTGCTGAGGCCGACTGGGGTTCAATGAGACAGAAGCAAACATACAGAAAGAAGCAGAGGTACAAAAGGCAACCTTTCAGCTCCAAGGGCGGCCCCGTCCAGAAAACACACAGCCAGGCAGATGAGCACTGAGCTAGCTCCCATGTCAAAGGATGAAGGAGAGCACATACAGTTAGTCGCAGTCAGAGAAACATTGAAAAACAGGCCAAGCTCCAACATCTTTAAAAACAAAGGTGTTGATGGAAGCAGCACAGCTGATGTTTCTCTCCAGGATGGGCTCACAGCCAAACGGGAACAGACCAGATGAAGCTACTATGAGAAAAAGCAGAGAGAGCAGAACATTAGAGATTGAACTAACAAATTCTGCAGAGTGGGAGAATAGAGATATAATAAAGCAGAATGATGAAATGGGGGTCCCTATGTCCTCCAGCAGTCTAAGTGTATAGCTATATAACTATAGAGATAGCTTTGGATAACCTGAGCCACTCTAAATATAAGCTTTATCAAAAACCCCTAGCAAAGCTGCAGACTGAGAGCGAAGTGCTCTGTTAGAAACATAAGGAACAATTTTATCTCTGATGTAAGATGGAGCTTGGCCATTTAAGGCTTTATATGTGAGAAGGAGGATTTTAAATTCTATTCTGGATTTAACATGAAGCCAATGAAGGGAAGCCAAAATAGGAGAGATATGATCTCTCTTTTTCATTTTCATCACAACTTTGGTTGCAGCATTTTGGATCAGCTGAAGGCTTTTAACTGTAGTTTGTGGACTTCCTGATAGTAAAGAATTACAATAGTCCAGCCTTGCGTCAACTGGATTTATAGACAGATATAGCTGAGTATCATCAGCATAACAGTGGAAAATAATCCCATGCTGTCTAATAATTCTACCCATTGGGAGCATATATATAGTAAAGAGTATTGGTCCTAGCACTGATCCCTGTGGTACTCCACAGGTAACCCTGGAGCATGAGGAAGATTTATCATTAATGTGAACAAACTGAAATCAGTCAGTCATTTACAATTTTAACTAGTCTAGTGCTGTTCCTTTATTGCCTACAAAATATTCAACTCTTTCTAAAAGAATATTATGAGCAACTGTATCAAATGCAGCACTGAGATCTAACAGGACAAGTACAGATACAAGTCCATTATCTAAGGCCATGAGAATATCATTAGTGACTTTCACCAGATCGGTTTCAGTGCTATGATGAGCTCTAAAGCCAGATTACACCTTGCCTCCAAAAATTGTTTATCTTTAATCAATCTAAATCCACATTAATTGTTATTCAACATATTCACGTGTTCAACGTCCAAGGCTTTCTTTTTTTAATCCTCATTTTTGCAAATTACAAGCAGGTTTCCATCTCTCAATTCCTTGACTATTTCGACTTCCCTAATTTTCTTTTTTATTTCTCTCGAAATCGAAATGGGGCTCAAATGACTGTTTTTCTTCAGGACTGAATCTAAATATTTTTATCCTTTCTCTGACAACCTTCTTTCACACAACTCTTTCTTCATCTGAACTGCTTTCTTCTAATTCCTGTGTATTTCCTCAATTCTCAAACCACCTTCCCCCCTCCTGTATCCCTCATTTTCGGTTGTCCAGTCTTTCCTCATCTACCTGACTTGCCATGTTGTTCCATCCACCAACCCGTCGGGCAAAAAACATTTTTCACACACAACTGACAGTCGGTATAGCTAGCTTCTATCAGCTGGAGCCTTACCTCATATGTAGAGCAAAAAGATAAAAAACATTGTCCTGTATGTGCTGAGAAAAAATACCCGGATTTTAAATTCCTTCATTCAAAATTAGTAAAAATGAATGCCACATATCAGACCATTTAACTAACCATGATGTTAGAAAACCATAAATCTCCTCTACATGATTTACGTCGAACTTTAAACTTGGATTTGGCATTCTAATTTATCAGTATAGCAGCCATGCTGTTTTACATAAGTAGGAAGGTTGATCAGAATAACAAATCTCCCCATGAAAACTAAGGCTTACTTAAAGAAACAAAGTGTTTCAAGTAATCGTTTAGCAATGAGTTGAAATGTTAAAGACTAAGCTGAAGTTTATTATACATCTGTATCATTGTAGGACAAGTTTTTGCAGTAGCAAAAATCCAAAGAATTCACATCAGGTAAGTCCCTCATGTAGGAATTACCTTCTTATCACTTTGTACAATTCCTTTTTTTTAGTATAACTGTATAGTTTACTGTAATTCTTATCTATCTCTGCTGTCCTTTTTGTAGAACAGTTATATTTTCTATAATGGTCATGGAAAGTATTATTACATCAACTCTCCTTGCAGGTCAGTTTTGATCCTATACCTATCTAATTATCGAAAACAAAATCACAATCATCCAAATTGCTTTTATGTGTTTTTATGCGTCTATACGTCTTTTTTGACACAAAGCTGGACGGAGGCACAGAGCTACTGCACAGAAAACTGCAACAACCTAGCAACCATTACAGATATGAAAGAGATGGATATTAAGGATTTCAACAAGGAGGGAGAACAAAATTATTTTAAATTGGGCTACTCAATATCTGAAAGTAACTGTGTAATTTACGAAAACAGACACCTGAATATGTCGCCTTGTATGTTCAATAAGTATTCAGTGTGTTTTGACGGTAAGTAATTCTTTTTAATTTTAGTCTGTGACAAGTAGAAATATTAATGCTGTCATTAATGTCATTTTCATTAATAAACCTTTTTGTATTAGTCTGCCATTTTACTTCTAAATTTCTACTGTTTCAAACAGCCGTACCACAACTCCTCTCAACTCTGGAGGTTGAGAATTATTTTTTTTTTTTTTGCAGGAATCCCTATAGTTCCCTGTGGGTTCATGAATTGAGGGTGTTTCTGTTGTGAATGGTTTGCACACTAAGCTAGGTTCACATAGAGTGACCAGATATCCCTATATGTGTGGGACAGTGCCACATTTTTCACTTTTCCCCGCTGTTCATCAATTTGAAATGTCCTGCATTTGACAGGGTCAAAATAGAAAAAAGGGAGAAATCTAGATATTTATAGGACCTTTTTTTCTAAATGCAAAGATGGCAAAGCTGCAGTTATTGTCACAGAGCTGCACCATTGCAATTTTAAGACCAAACTGTGCAAGATGCTCTTAAAACAGAACAAGTAAAGGATTTTATTATAAAATATGATGGAATCTACATTCATAGAAAACAAAACACGAGCACAACAAAGATTGATGAAGAGGTCACAGCTGGGTGAGGTCAGTGACAAGCGATCTCAGAGAGCTTTTAGTGAAGTTTGCTGAAGTTATTTTTCACCTTGATACAAAGGCAGTGTTAGGTAAGCAATACTGTAAAAGTGAGTGGAAAGATGCACCTGGCCCACACTAACCTGGTTTACAAGTATAATCCGAGCCCAGAGAACAAGGTAGGATCCAGCTGGTGGGCTGCCAACAAGATGCGACAGGTGCCGCCCAGAGTGTACCAGACGCTGCAGCCCTGGAGGACAAGCAGGAGTCCAAAGACAGGTCAGGCAAACAGATCAGAACCGGAACAGGAAGGTTCAGTGGTTTAAAGGCAGAACAGGTCAGAATCAGGTTATCAGAAATACTCATATAGGCTTAAAACACTCACCACAGGCTCAACGAAAATAATCTACTTGATGACTGGCAGCTTGACTAGAGGAAGGAGCAGGTGGATAAGATGAGCAGTAATGTGAAACCGTACAGTTAGACAGGTCAATGAAATGAATAATCAATCCAGTCATCAGCACCGAGGTCAGAACATTAAATCAGGTGTAAATTTCAGTGCTGATGTTTCACATCAAGGTCTGAGCGCCAAAAATGTAAATACTATATCAGTAAAACTTTGACTTCCCGTCTCTCTCTGTGCGTTTTTCAGATTCAAATGAAGCCTAGGCGAAAATTAAACTGAATCACTTACCAATCCAATCAGAGGCTCATCTCTCTTTGAAGCAATCCTGTCAGCATTGGACCACACCTCCACAAAGTTCAATCAGCATTCAGAGTCCAGTTTAAAAGACATTCAAAAGCAAAACCCAGCTGCTACTCAAACAAAAATCTACTCAGTTGGTTTGCACTGTGTGACTTCAACTCAGATGACCTTGATTCAACCCTCCACCTTTGCCCCAAGCTCCATCTGATGAGTCCTCTGGTCTTTACTGCATTCAGGAGTCCTCCTCAGCCTGTCTGGCTGAAGAGCGCCATGGAGAGCCTGGTTCTGTCAGAGATTTCTTCCCAAGCAAAGTTTTTTTCTCTTTACCGTCGCTTTATTCTCGTTTATCAAAGAGGTTCATACGAACATGGGCCTTATTCCAGTTGGAAACCATCTTTATTCTTTCCGCCAGTCTGAGGCCTGGGGAGGCCACAAGTTACCTTAGAGATAATTGTATGTACTGAAGTAATAAAACAAATGTCTTATTATTTGAAATGTGAAATAAAATCTTAGTGACACTGTTGCTGATTAAAAGGTAAAAAAAAAAAACATAACAGAAAACCCCTAAAGATGAATGATTTCCCTAAACCAATTTAATAAACAACCACCTGTTCAGAGAGGAAAACAAAGGTTAAGGTTAAAAGTGACACGCAAGTTGTCATAGCTATGAATGTGTCTTTGGTCATGCTTCCTATAAATTTCCATAATTTGCATCTGATGGAGAAGTTTTCCTGTGTTTTACATACAGAGGAAGACAAATAGTAAAATGTGACACAGCTGACATAAACCCTTCATATCACCTCTTTCCTCCAAGATACAAACGTTTAAAGCTACACACACTTCATTATTTTGCTAAATTACGAGCAGAAAATCATCAAGATTAAGACATTAAATTATTCTTCCTGGAAACAAAACAAAAAAACTTGGTATGTTTTTGAATGTGAAAACCAAAATCTCATTAAAATGTATAACTTTGTGATGCTTAAGATGTCTTAAACAACTCTTTAACAAATCCTGACCTAATGAAAATATTCAGCTTTCTATATGTCCTGTAATTTTACAGACATTATTGCTACCATGGGCGTCATATCTCTAGTTCTATTTACAGGTCAGATATATTACATATACAGTGAGGAAAATAAGTATTTGAACAGCCTCCTATTTGCAAGTTCTCCCACTTAGAAATCATGGAGGGGTCTGTATGTCCACTATGAGGGACATAATGTATAAAAAAAATAAATCATAATATATGTTTTTTTCTTTAAATATTTACTAGTATGACAGCTGCAAATAAGTATTTTGCAAATATGTACCTTAGATAGAAAACTTGCTGTATGATCTGATTGAATTGTCTCTGTAAAGAGCCTTCGGGTAATATGTGTTGGGAATTGGCGCTGTATAATTAAACAGAAGTGAATTGAATGCTATAATACATATCACTAGGTTATACTATAATTAAAAGTATTAATCTATGTTCTTTTTAATCATTAGAAAATAAGATCTATAAAATCACCTAATGATAATAAGCCATTCAGCAAGAGGAAGAATGATTATTCCTGGTGAAGATGAGTCATACAGGTCGTAGTCATTCCAAAAAAGTGAGAAAAAAAACAAAGCACTGGACTTTGTTTTTTAAGTTTGAATATTTTTTGCTTCCCATGCAGGAAGCTTTTTCAATTCAAAATGTCTAAATTAGCGCTAGGTTCCAAGCTTTATAGAGAATCCCAACAAAGACTTGTTATGGCTTAGAAAACATGCAAACTGAACCGGAAGAACAGGTCCGCCCTTTAGTAATGAGGAGTCGTTGAGGTCTTTGTTAGCCTGCAATACCTGCTACTGGTCTATGCCTCTGAAAAAGGGAGTCATTACGGGAGTTGTTGGCGTTGTTGGATGTTTTTTTTTTTTTTTTTTACTTACTTACTAGTGCTTTTTTACTTACTTTTTTAGAAGAATGATAATTGTAAGCTTACATTATTAAAACACCTTCCTTAAGTGGGGAAGACAATCATTTTCAGAAAGACACTTTGTTTTGTTGAAATTGGAGAGGAACCTTTAAGATTTACCATCTTAAGGTTCTTTCTGCTTACTGTGCTAAAAATTTTCCACATTTCTTTTCTTTGTAAAATACTAACCCTTGAGGCCATCTCTTTTGGTACAAACAACACAGTACTGGGTTCTCTGTTGGTGACCACAGATTCAAAGAACATTTAAATATGACAGATTACCTTATTCACCTAAAATATTTGTAATACCCAAGTTGTAGAAAGACAAGGTTGCTTAGCTAATGGAAAAAACTCATTAACTCTTCCTTGTACTAAACTGCAGTCTGCGTCAAAAATTAAGATGAAGTATTTCCAACTTGTTAATTTTTTTCAAATGATCTCTAATGTGCACACTGAAGAGCAAAAAAACTATAACTTTCTGTGTTTATTCCATCTTTATTTCTTTTTTTCTTTCACACTTTTAAGAGTCACACATCAAACAAAGAAAAATACAAAGTTTCTCATCATCATAATGCATTGTGATGTCTGCCTTGGTTTATAATATACGCTGCACTAAGGAATTCATTATTATGCTAAATCACTAGTTAGTAGCCCCTCATCACATGTATTTGCAGAACTATACATCTACTTTCACACATACATTATACACAATGCAAAATAGCATCCCCCTTTCTTCCCTTTTGCCACATTTCAGCTTTCCCATTATTTCATTGTTTGGCCACTTATTTATTACCTTGTGAACAATTGGCAAAGGGGAAGATGCTATGTAATCAGTTTAACAGTAATGACAAAAACACTCAACACTATTTTTAATAATTTTAGAAAGAAAAAAGAGACTTATAAGCACAATGTACTACTGATTAGTGAGCAAAAACACAATTCTGATAAAGTCTACACAAAACTAAGCATTAAGATAACTTATTAAGGTGCTCAGCAATGATTTGTCCTTTTCTACCTTATTTATATACAGCTCAAATCTTCATATATTCCAAATAAGGAATGCTAAGTTAAACAAAAATCAAAACAAACGGTATATTCAATTACAAACCCTTTAAAATATTTTTTTGCATGTGTGCTATTTTATGCAGTTTATTATATGCAGTTTATTGTCAAATGACCACATTTATAAATGCTTCCTACCCATAAAATAATTTGTCCAGCCTGTTAGAGATTGTAGGCAAAGGTTTTCCAGTTTAATATTTTCAAAGTCTTCTTTCAGAGAATTAAACCTGTTAGACTCAAATAATGGTAGGTTCAAAATGTGACAAAAAAAAGAAAAAATATATATTTAGCTGTGCTTCATGCTGAGGTCATAAAATGAACGTTGAGATTGACAAAAAATCCCTCTTACTCCAAGTTGCTCATCAAGTTAGTTAAGTTTTTACATCTTCTCTAAGACCTGAAATTTTGCATCCCTAATCTTGATCCTTAACATTCTCTGTTGGTTGTTTTCTAGAGGCTGTACATTTTCTATTATATTTATTTATTTATTTATTTTTGTAACATGCAAAATAATATAAATGTTAAATCACTGTATTCTGTGTTAGTTTTAATCGCATGGAGAAAGGTTTCCTTCAGCATTAATTTGTGCAAGCCTGTTAATTGTTTTGCCAGTGCAAAGTATTTACATTTCAACATTCTCCAACCATGAATTTGCACGCTTTGGACTTGACCAAAATCTTGAAAAGGCCTGACTGAGCATCTGTAGAGGGAGCTACAGATGTGTCTGTAGTGTGATGAAAAAGATTCCATAAAAAATATTTAAGTTAAAATGAGGATCATAAACTTTTTTAAGGTTATGGTAATAAAATAAAAAATTACAATAATCAAAAACATACATGCACAAGCAGGCTTTGATAATAGAAATTTTAACTGATTATGATTTAAAGAAAAGTATTACAATGTAAATAACAGCTTCTATTGAGACCCTTTTTTAAAAGGTTTTCAAGATAAATCAAAACCTAGCAGGAATAAATATGATTGAGTTCAACTGTACAAGAACACATCTAAATACAAAACACCTTTGCTAGAGGTCTAGAGTGCTGTATTGTGAGAGGGTTTTATGAAGATCTATTCCTTTCATGACTTTGTTTCTATCATGGAATATTTACAGCAGGTTGCTTGATGAAAACTTTGCCATCCGAATTGTTTCTCCATTGAAGAGTGATCCTTGCTGGTATGTTCTCAATTATTTTCAGCCTTATCTGGGGAAAAGAGAGTAAGAACATTGTTTTTCATTAGAATAAAATGTTGCATTTATCTATTATCCGTCAAAGGAAATGCTTTAATCATTCTCTGAAGGACAGACTTTGACTCTTCAGTCACATCATGCGACAGACCAATCACAGTTTATAACTTACCGGTAGTTTGAATTTTCTAGGTTTACTGTCTCCTAATTTCCTGCCTTTAGCTTTATAGTTTCTATCTTTGTTGCCAAAAGTTATGATAGTCTGATCTAGGGCTGGAATATATGATCAGAACTTATATGAGAATATATTACTTAATGTCGGTTGACATGGTATCTATATAAACAATATAAAAGCCTTATGATGACAAGTCCGTTAAATTCCTCATCAAGCTTATCAAGAGAATGTCAAGAGTGTGTGAAGCAGTAATCAAAGCAAAAGGTGGCTACTTTGAAGAGTCTAGAGCTTTTTTTATCTGCTTTCTTATGATTTGTTCAAACCAAATGCAATTTGAACAGCAGAAGCAGCCAGTTTACATGCAAAGTCTATGGTTCATGCGATCATCATCAGAAGGTCCTTCAGCACATCCTGAGCAGCAGGAGAAGTGCACCTCGATGCATCTAAGCAGCTGAAACAGTGACTCCTGAGCATCTGCGGCACGAGATGCGCTTCACAAGCAGCAGATGCTGGAGTCGAAAAAATTGAACTTGTGCTGCTCAATATGCCACATCAACCAATCATAGAAGCTGATCTGGGAGCCAGAAGAGAGACAATTAAATTCAATGTTATTCTGTTCTATGTTAGGACCTTTCCAAATCCAGCTCAGGTTAATTCAAAAATATTTCCTGAAAATCTGAATAGGGAAAATAGGGATAATAATAATGTGTTCATACTTCTCCACCACCTGCACATCTTCTATAATGATGGTAGTAATGGGTAATCTGTTCCTGTTTCTTTTGAAATCTCCAGAGCGTCTCTAGGATTATTTATTTATTTTTTTCCCTACTTGCTTTGATTCTGTTTTATATTCCTTTATTTTAATCATGTAAAACACTTTACATTGTCTTTGTACTGAATTGTGTTATACAAATAAATTTGCCTTGCCTTGCCCTGCCCCAGACCTTCAAGGAGCAGGTCTATAGTGACTGAAGACTGATGGTTGAGTATTTTTTAGTAACAAAACAAGGCTGAGGTTTTCGGGGTAAGGCCAAGGTTGAAGATGTACTATAGAGCTGCTCTGTGCAGGCCTGGGGACTCTGGGGCTTACACTATCTAGAACTGGAGTGATTTTCCAGTTCTGTTTATTCACCTACCTTTTCTCCTATCTTCTATAGATAGATGAGTGGGATGGTGAAGGCAAAAAGGAGAAGCACCATCCTATGATTTGGTTGAAAATAAAAATATAGAAGGAAGGAAGTCCATGGCAGGGGACATTTATGCAGACATTTATGCTCAATTCCGATTTTGTATTGAAATCAGTTTCTTTTTCTGTGTTTGTTCACATTTCCGAATATATGCAACGTATATATGATCTCCCGTGTGAACTGCATTCATACAACTTAAGAGTCCTGCATGGACTTAAGTTAAATCCTGCATGTGCAGTACAGGATGCAACGACGTCACAAGTAGTGAGCTTGTGTTTACGGAAGTAAACATGGATGATAGCGCTGAAGCGCATCTAACGATCTTTTATTTCTTTTCCAATCGGAGCCAGCACATTAAAAAAACAATTAAAAAGATCTAAATAGAATGACTGTTCTCCACTCTATTGTCTGCTATGGTTGTTTTTCTCCTTGCCTTTGTGTTCCAAGATGCAGAATAGTGACCTTTGTTGAGAATTAATGATGTTCAGGTTGTATCGGATTCAGAACCACATAGCTAAGTGGTCTGGGTCCCATTGAAAGAAATCATATCTGTGTTGTTCAGACTGTCATGAAGAGAGCAGATACAGGTCGCATATGGGTAAAAAAATCTGATATGAGTCACTTCAGGCTGCTGTTTGAGCGTAGTCAAAGATGGGTTGGATATCTGCTTGTTTGTGGGCAGGAAGGATGGATGCAGAGATTGTTCCTTAAATGAATCTGATCCTCCTTCTACTTGATGCTTGTGATTTCTTCATCCTTGACCATATACTTTTATACTATCCGGGGGGATCTTCTGTGCAGCTTATTCTTGTATTTTTCCTTGCTGTTATTTAACTTAACTTTGTGCTATGTCTGTGTAATCCTCAATAGTCCTTTTTCCTGAAATTAGTCCTGGTCGTCATTGCCTTGTATTTCACACTTTTGGTCAAACCTATTGTTGTTTGATCCTACTAAGCATAACATAAATTCTCCAAAGTTTTTCTCTTTTTTCAACAAAACTCTCTATAATGCGAGACAGCCTAATTGGTGAATCACAATATCTTCCTCTGAACCTTTTATTTCTCAGAGGATAATAGATACTAATGAGATACATTATCTGCTGGTACACAAGCCTTCATAATCTGAACACTGGAAATATGTATCTTGTGCAGGTGGATTATGATTATAAGAAGCAGTGATGGACTTCAGGCCACCAGATAGACTCTGACTTCTAGACTTCACCTTTAAATTCAAGTTGAGGTTATTCACTTGTTCCTCACAAGACATGTGAGGTACAGGTCTTAAGTCTGACTCCTGAATCTCAAGGCTAGAGATACACTTCATTTTAAAAACATGATCTCAAAAGTCATTAATGTATAAAAATGTATTATAACACATTTTTGCAAGTTGTATCAGAAAAATAAATTAACTAAAGTATTCTCAGACTTACCTGTTTCAAGATGTTGTTTTGCACTGCACGGTCTTGTAAATCCAGCATAGAGTTGACCTGTGGACTTATTCTCAGTTTTATGAAATGCAAGAAATGATCGGTTTCTGTTATGGAAAAAGAAAAACATTATTCTTTTTTGCTTCCGTCTGCATCATCCTTCTGTATGCTTAAACATTCACTGACTGTGATTAAAAACAGCTTGGATTAAAAACTTTCCAGTGCATTAATAGAAAGTGGAAAATTTTCCTAACAGATTTTATTTTCTACCATAATTTACACATACATTCTTTAAAATTCCTACAGTATATTTACTCTCTATTTTTGTCTGTTATATTTAAAGTGTGCCTATGATCGAGATTTCGGACCTCTCTCATCATTCTAATCAGGGCAACTTCTCCCATCAGTGGCTAAACAGCATAGATCAACATGCATCTTCTTTATATCAATTGTTCGACATCCTAATTTACTCAGAACTGTCACTTCTATGATTGTTCTCCCTGTTTGTGTTGCTGTCAATTCATCTGTCAATCACAGTTGAGACCACGCCTAATCACTTGGGCTAATAAGAAAGTGTTAGAGTATTGCTGAGGAGCTTTAAGAACAACTCCTCCACTTCACAAGCCTTTTTTTAACCCACATGTATGAAGAGAAAGTACTCTCCTTCTCCAGCAGAGGTTCTCCATTTTCTGTCTCCTACTTTAAAGTTGCCATATATCTCCTGCACTTTGTATCGCCGAGTTCTCTTGTTTGGGCTGTTTTGCATTAAGTTGATTTGTTTTGCTCTGCTTAGTTTTGTTGACTTGATATTTGGTCATTCCCTTCAGTATGTTCTTTTCACAATTTCTTTTATTTCTTATTAATTACTAATGTTTTAAGCAAAATTCCTGTTGCCGTCTGTGTTTATGTTACCCCACCTAAAGAGGCTGTAACTACAGTTTATTTGCAAAGCAAAAAAGCCCATTTCCCCTCATTGCTTTATGTAAAATGATTGAGTTTAAAAAAATGTTTTTTATCGATATTAGGAACTGAAACATTGTCAATATTTTAATGCTTTGTTTCGCTGTTTGATGCTGAAAGATGAGGGAGAACAGATAATCAGATAATTTATTTAACTGCTGGATTTTCTTTTTATATTTGAAATATGCAGTCGGTCAGATCCTTTCTTCTTCTTCTAGGGCCCCCCTCAGTCAAGGGCCCTTAGAATCTTCCTAAGTTTTCCACTCATGCTTCCCCCCTGGGCACAAATATGTATATGAATGGATCAAAAAGCAAGGGACATACATAATGGGATAACATAGGGAATGTGCATGAGAAAAATTTGGACAAGATTTAAAGTCTTTCAAAATCTCCCTAAAATCACGTAAAAAAAGAAGAGCTGCTGTGAAGGAGAATAAATGCAAAGTTGCAGAAGCATTTCTAAATGATAGCAGGCGAATGTGTGCTCTACTCAGATCTTAAGCTGCCCAACACTGTATCTTATTCTTCAAAGGCAGTTTACATTTTCATTTAGTTTTGGTTGTGTTACTTACTGCAATTGCAGAGGAATGGATGTTTTTCTGTGCAGAGCCTGTCTCCCCATTTACCAAATTTACTCTTCAAAAGAGCAATGCAGTCATTTGAGTCAGTGGTGTGAACTGGTTGGGTTTCCTGCCAGTACCTAAATGAAGACTCTGTCATGTCTGACCATTCCCATCGGTCTCTGAACAGGCCAACATACACAGCATGTCCATTGGATACATCCTTGACTGTCTGGTATTCTGCATCATTCCTCAAGCTGACCAGGTCTGTGTGGTTTTTCCTGCAGAAATCCCGAGCAGCGGTCCAACTCATTTGGATTGGAGAGAGGATGTATTGATCGGCTCCTTGTTTTTTTCCTAAAAAGGTAGGTTTTACATTTTTTACAATTTGTATTGATTGAGTTTTTGCAAATCAGCATCTCGAATTAGAAATTTCTTATCAGCTAATAGATCAGTGGATAATTTATATCTTTCAAAATAAAATAGCTAATAAATATCTGGAAAACTTGAAGCATCCTGTTTGAGCAAATTAGCTTCAAATGGAAATAAAAAAAACTATAATAAATTACATCAGATTATTAAGAAATTCTTTTTAATGCCTTTCTTCTCCTCTTGATTAACACTTTAGTGCATATGCATGATGCTTTTTGGCCTGTTCTATATGTCTTCCTGTCAAAGCAACTGTGCACCAATTACAGAGCTATTTTCTTACGTTGACTTAGTTGACTGTTCTCTGCTCCAGACCAGCAGTTTGAGTAACCCTTAGCTGTTGTTACAACACACATTTCCCAGGAAATAACCTTGGTTTAAGAGTTGACTAGGTCAGTAATTCCCAAGCGGCGGTAAGTGGTCCCCTTGTGGTCCGTGAGTACATTGCAAGGGGTACATGAAAATACTTGATTTCTTAGGTAGTAATATAAAATAAGGCTGTTTTGCTTTGTGAGGACCAAACTAAAGCATAAAAGAAGCTTTTTTTTACAACCAAAAAGCAAATTTTTTTCCTGAGTGCACCTTCATCTTTGACATACATCAAAACCAAGCAGAGGAACAGACTGAATGTGGGGAACAGCCTGTTTATCACACTGAGCTATCAAAGAAGCTCAGGTGTCATGAATGTTGAAATCAAAATAATATAAATGGAGTCAGTCTGACTAATATAATTTTTGTTTAGTATTTTGTTTCCAATTTATCAAGTGTATATGTGATTAAAGGCAGGTTACTCAGACGAGCTCCAGTTTTATAGAGGCAGATTTATGATATCCTTTAATTTTCCATCTATTTTGGTTCCTTACTACAGGTAGCTTCCAGGAAACATATTTATGTATTTTTTTTTTTTTTTTTCAGATGGAAAAAATAAAAGGCCTAACAATTACATGGTTATTTTATAATTAGTAATAGTACCTTCCATTGTTTTGCAGTTACCAATCCTTTTGAACAAGGGGGGTAAAAAGGTTGGGAACTACTGGTGTAGGGTATGGAGCTCTAACTTAGAGGCTGCTGCCTCTGCCACGCTGCTTGACCCCAGACCATCAATTTAAACTGAGAACAGGAGATTTCCTTTCTTGAAGAAAAAAGTTACCCACAAAATCTCAAAATGATCAGGTCTAAAAAAAAAAATAAAAAATAAGAAAAAAAGTGGGACAGCTAGGATGCATTTGAGGGACAATGTGTGGCAGATCCACCTTCTTTTGCTGTTCCACTCACTTTTAAAGTATTGCTTTACCTCAAGCTGCCTCTGTATCCAGGGGAAAAATAGCTTCAGCAAACTTCACTAACACTCTCTGAGAATCATTTGTCACTGACCTCACCCAGCTGTGGCCTTTTCATCAATCTTTGTTGTGGTCGTGTTTTGTTTTCTATAAATGTAGATTCCATCATATTGTGTCATAAAATCCTTTACCTGTTCTGTTTTAAGAGCATCTTGTGCAGTTTGGTCTTTAAAGGGCACTGGTGCAGCTCTGTGACAATAACTGCAGCTCTGCTTTCTTTGCATTTAGAAAAAAAAAAAAAAAAAAAAAAAAAAAAAAATATATATATATATATATATATATATATATATATATATATATATATATATATTTTTTTTTTTTTTTTTAGTTTGACCCTATTAAATGCAGGACATTTTAAATTGACAAACAGTGGGACAGAAGTGAAAAATATGGCACACATAGGGACATCTGGTCACTCTATGCGAACCTGGCTTAGTGTGAAAACCCAGCCACAACATAAACATCCTAAATTCATGAAACCACAGGGAACTATAGTAATTCCTGCCTTTTCTGGTCTTTTCAGCAAAAAGGTCAATTGATAGTTTCAGCTGTTTGAATTCAGGAAAACCTCTTAATTGGAAAAAAAACTTACCATCAAAACACACTGAATACATATTGTCCGTACAAGGCGATATATTCAGTTGTCCGTTTTCATAAATTGCGCCGTTTTTTGTAGATGTCGTGGAGCCCCATGTAAAATAATCTGTTTATCCCTCCTTGTAGAAATTCTTGTCTGCAAGAGACCAGTGCCAGCTTCTTCTGTTGCCCATGTGGAGCCCAATCCAAATAGCATCAACGTAGTTCTGTCCAACAGTTTCCAGAACCATATCCATGTCTTTCATATCTGTAATGGTCGCTAGGTCGTTGCAGTTTTCTCTGCAGTAGCTCTGTGCCTCCGTCCAGCTTTTTGGAGTGTCAAAAAAGACGTATGGACGCTGATGCCCACAGAGACAAAGAGAAAACAGTCCTACAGAGATAAAAGAAAAATCTTTCTTTTTTTATAATATTAGTCATAAAAACACATAAAATGAAATCTGGATGATTGTGATTTTGTTTTTGATAATTAGAGAGGTATAGCATTAAAACTGACCTGCAAGGAGAGTTGATGTAATAATACTTTCCATGACCATCATAGAAAGTATAACTGTCCTACAAAAAGGACAGCAGAGATAAATAAGTATTAAACTGTACAGTTATAGTTAAAAAAAAAAAATCTATAAAGTGATAAGAAGGCAATTCCTACATGAGGGACTTACCTGATGTGAAATCTTTGGATTTTTGCTACTGCAAAAACTTGTCCTACAATAATATAGATGTATAATAAACTTCAGTTTAGTCTTTAATGCTTTGACTCGTTGCTTAACAATATCTCGAGGCAGTATATATGTTTCTTTATGTAAGCCTTAGTTTTCATGGTGAGATTTGTTATTCTGATCAACCTTCCTCCTTATGTAAAAAATAATGGAAATCAGACTAATTAATTATAATGTTTGACATAAGTCATGTAAAGCAGATTTATGACAAAGGTCACTGGACTAACTGCTGAGGATCTAGGGATCATGGCGGAGCTCTCCACACACAGAGCTGAGGCAGTACCAACTTAAAAAAAAAAGAGTTTTATAGACACTGCTTAGAAATGTCACTTTTATTGGTAAATTTATGGTGTTATGGCAGGAAAAACACTCCACATTCTGAACAAACTTTTCACATATGATCCATTAGACAACACTTGGTCTGCATTTTGCTCTTAAACGCTGCTTCTCTAAAATAAAATACATATTTCTTAAATGTAAAGTCTCCATGATGTTTGGGTAATTATATTATTGCATTACGTATTAAGACAGTATTATGTAGATGACAAGGCTGTGATTATTTGATTATCTAGAAAGCATATATACGTTTTAGAGCCATTTAACCTAAAAAAAAAATAAAACTATGTATATTAAATAATTATATGCTTTCCATAGGAAGTAGATCAGCTCATATAAAACCATTTTCTTTTTTTTTTGTTTTACAAATGGTTCTTTGTAGCAGGTAATGGGTTATTATCTTGCAAAGTACATGGACAGTTTATTTTACCCTTGTGTTGTGTTCAGGTCTGTGGGAACTCAGAGAACTCTGAACCATGACATCCACTAAGTAAGAGATTCTGACAAATGGGGGGATTGTTTGAACTAAGAGGGTGTTAAACATTAACAAACGGTACCCTCTGCCAAATCTTTGAACTTACAAAGACAACAAGAGGAGTATACTAAATTTTGAAATGCAATTGGACAATGAATGAGGTATTTATACAGGGAAGAAAGTTTAGTGAATACTTCACGGTGTCAAGTTAAAGTTAAATCTGTTGTTACAAAAATCAGGGTAAGAAAGAACTAAATTTCTAACATATTTATTTAAATCTGGGCTGAATTTATTATATTTTAGATAACAGCAACTTGACAAATACTCATAGTATGTTTGGGGGAAAAAAACAGCTTATTGGTAAAAAATAAACAACCAAAAAGTTAAACTTTTATTATGAAGTTTAGACATTTATGGTTGGTTTATAATCATGTATTATATCTGTTTTATGCAGAATCATGAGACAAGTTGTTCTCTTTCACTTGATGCTCCTCCTTCCAATGTATTCAACCCACAATTACCGTAAGTATATCTTAAAAATCTTTGTGGATTTGTTGACACTGTAAACATTACTGTGGGTGAAATTCATGTATTAAAAGGAAACAGTGAAAATAATACTGGTTAATTCTCTAAAATCATATCAAGCCAATTTTTTTTCATAATAGTTATCTCTTTTAAAGACAGTATTTTAGACTTAGACAGATTTATTTGTCATTTTGTTTAGTGTGTAAAACAAAAAGAAATTTTATTTAGAACAGCTCTCTGGACAATTTCATTTTTTTTAAAGTGCAGCCTTGAAAAATAGTAAAAAATTTTGCAAAAGAATTTACAACTTCAGTATCTTACAACACTTTTCCTCCATTTTTAGTTTCTCGTTGTCCAGCAAGTTTCCAAAGACTATCGTAATCATGTTTTTCTTTTTTAGCATGTTTCTTGCTTTCAACTAAGCAATGACTGTGAAGCCAAGACTTGACATAAATCTAATTTGAACATTTTGAAAGAAGGACCAACATGCATGAAAAAAGGATACAAATTAAAAAGGATGTAGAAGTTTGTCTCTAAATGATTGTATGTATATTTTTAAATATAAATCTAGTGAAATATTACTAAAAGTTTTGGTGCACTCTAATATGAAATCACATGCTGCAGATGTGTCCACTGCACGTCCACATTGCAGATGTTCTGCTAAATCCCATTAGTGCCCTCATGGTTTAAAGTTTGATAACTGCTGATGTGGGCAAACTTACCACTGGGTGAAAATAGTAAATGATAAAAACAATTTTTATTAAAAATAATTTACATTGTGCCACAGTGAATTAACTTGGAAAAATAAAATAAAAGCACATGAAATTTGTTCATTTTGAACCAGTAGAACATACAACCCAAACAAATATAACATTTTTGAAATTTTCTTCAACATTTCAAATGAATTTCTAAATGTTTATAGTAGATAAAACAAAATCAATGGTGAAGTAATTAAGAAACAAGCAATTACAATAACTTGATAGATATTTAGTTTTTTAATCTAAATTCTTATACAGTTTTACAGAATGAAGCAAAATCTGTTGTCAGATTTGAAAAAAAAATCTGAAAATAAAAACACTTTCCATCGGATTGTCGGTTCAAGTCCCGGCTCCTGCTTTCAGTGTTGTTGTGTCCTTGGGCAAGACCCTTCACCTGCTTTGTCTACTGATGGTGGCACCAGTGTACGGCAGCCTCGCTTCTGTCAGCGAGCCCCATTGCAGCTGTGGCAGCTGCCACCATCAGTGTTTGAGTGAATGGGTGAATGAATGAACACAGTGTAAAGCACCGTGGTCAAGTCTCCTGCCTTGAAAAAGCGCTATATAATTACAGACCATTTATCTTTTTTTTTTATGTGCAGCAAATGTGGCTTTGCGTGGCAAAGCAACTCAGTCACAGCGCTATTTTGGTATTTATGGTGCTGCATCCAATGCCATTGATGGAAACAGAAGTCCCATCTTCCATGATGATTCTTGCACCCATACTTCAAACCAAACCAATCCTTGGTGGAGAGTGGACCTGCTGGACTCGTATATCATCACCCAAATTATAATCACCAATAGAGGAGACTGTTGTGAAGAACACATCAAAGGAGCAGAAATACGGATTGGAACCTCTAAAGAAGGCAATGGTCTTGGAAACCCATTGTGAGTGATCATTTTCATTCAGTTCAATATTGTCATACTGCTCCAATTTACAAAACATGCCTCCAAAAAAAAAATTATATGAATTTAGTAGAATAAGAGAGACCAGATCAAAATAACATTTTCTGAACAAGTTATGAAACAATGCAATCGATTTCAATTTATTATTTAAGTTGATAGAAATGTTTTTTTCTTGCTCAAGAAAACCCAGCATATTGCAACGAATCAACTAACTACAGCATGAACTCTTGTGCAAAACGTTGTGACAGTGGACCTGTTGCATCACTGACTTTGCAGAATTTCTTTATATCAAGCATGCATGTAGCGACAGTGGAAAGGAAAACGCCCCTTGAACATGAAAAAACTTTAGCATAACTATAGTTAGGAGGAGTTTGAAGATGATTCTTTGTTTGATGGGGAGCCAGTGGAGTTGTTGCAGGATGGGAGTGATATGATGAGAAATGGGGGTCCGAGTGATCAGGCGTGCTGCAGAGTTTTGGAGGAGCTGTAGTTTCTGGAGGGACTTGTTTGGAAGGCCATAAAGAAGTGAATTACAGTAATCGTGATGCGTGAAGTGATGAGACTGTGAACAAGAATGCCGGTAGTTTGGGGAGTGAGGGAGGGACGGAGACGAGAGATGTTACGTAGATGGAAGTAGGCAGACCGGGTGATGTTGTTAATGTGGGACTGGAAGGAGAGGGTGCTGTCGAGGACGACACCCAGACTCTTAACCTGAGGGGAGGGGAGGACAGTTGAATCATTGATGGTAATCGAGAAGTTATTAGCTTTGGAGAGAGTGTGAGGTGTGCCTACTAGGAGGACTTCGGTTTTAGAGCTATTCAGTTTGAGGAAGTTGGATGAGAACCAAGAATGGATTTCTTGGAGACAGAGGGTGAGGGAGATTGGTGGGAGTGAGGCAGATGGTTGAGTAGAAAGGTAGAGCTGGGTGTCGTCCGCGTAGCAGTGGAATTTGATATGATGCTTACGGAGGATGTAGCCAAGAGGGAGGATGTAGATAATAAACAGGAGGGGCCCCAAGACAGAACCTTGGGGCACACCAGCAGAAACAGGGAAGTAGATGGATTTATGAGATTTGAGTTGTATGAACTGTGTCCTATCTGAGAGGTATGAAGTGAACCAGGTTAGAGGGGTGCGGCTGATACCGATGGATGATAGTCGACTGAGGAGAGTGGCATGGGAGAGGCTGCTGCTTCCGTCTCCTTGAACCCCAGTCGGCGTCAGCAGATAGCTGCTCACACTGAGCCTGGTTCTGCTGGAGGTTTCTTCCTGTTAAAAGGGAGTTTTTCCTCTCCACTGCCGCTACAAGCATGCTTAGTGTGAGGGATTGTATTTGAGTCAATGAGTCAATGCAATCAACTGGTTTTCCTTAGAGAGAAAACTTTGTATCAATTTGACTGTATGATCTGGTTGAACTGTAAAGTGCCTTGAGATGACGTGTTGTGAATTTGGCGCTATATAAATAAACTGAATTGAATTGAATTAAGATCCAGGAGAATGAGGATGGAAAGTAGTCCAGAGTCAGAAGCCATAAGGAGGTCGTCAGAGATCTTGATGAGTGTGGTTTCAGTACTGTGCAGAGGACAGAAGCCAAATTGAAACTGTTCGTAAATATTGTTGGACATTAGGTGGTTGTGGAGTTGGGAGGCAACAGATTTTTCCAGAATTTTGGATATGAAGGGTAGATTGGATATGGGACGTAAGTTATTGAAGTCGGTGGGGTCCAGGCCAGATTTTTTCAGAATTGGGGTGACTGTAGCGGATTTGAGTGCAGAGGGGACTGAACCAGAGCTTAAGGAAGAGTGGATGATTTTGGTTATGAGAGGAGCAAGTGAAGAACAGCA